AAAAAAAAAAAAAAAAAAAAAAGAAGTAGAAGAAGAAGAAGAAACGAAATACAGACCCAAGTTCGAATCCAGATACAATCAGATGAAAAAGAACCAAATCATTCAGAATTACCTTGGGCCCGGTCTCTTCAATGATGATATCTCAAGCCTCAAGGCCGTCGCCCTTTTAAATTCTTTTTTTTGTTTTTTTTTTGGGTTCCTGTTTTTTTATTTTTTGTTTCCCCCCTTCTTGACCGGCTGCTCTCCTTCTTCGGATTTTGACTTCGTCTTTCGACTCTCCAACCATCCTCCTTCATTCATTCTACTTCTTCTCGACTATGTTGTCTGTGTTTCTCTTTTAAATTCATTCTATGTTTCCTATCTTTCGTTAAACTAATCATTCACGCCTGCTCTCTACACCTTTTCTCTCTCTCTCTCTCTCTCTCTCTCTCTCTCTCTCTCTCTCTCTCTCTCTCTCCGCCGGCGCGCGCGCGCGTCCGTTTTCCAGACCAGAGCTGGGCCGATCGGCGCGCGATGCAATGCCCCTTCGACGGGACGGGACCTGCTGCACCTGCACCATTGTACCAGTTCTCGATTTATGCGTGTCCTCCGTGAAATCGCAGGGCCCATGGCCCCATGCTAAATGAATCCTTTTTCTCTGTTTAGTCATAGCTCCACATTTAACGGATGTCCCGGGACTATAGGTCCCACTTACACGGATTAAGCGATATTGACCGTAGATAGCAAAGATCAACGGCCCAAATCTCCTAATTTGCGCAAGTGGGACCTTGCCCCCGAAGAGCACACCAGCACCGTTGCTGCGTTCGCCGGATTTCGTTGTGTCTCTCGCCGTTTTCCCGATTTGCTATTTTTTCACCTGCCGGCAATCGCGGCCCTCTTACCTCCTCCTGTTTTTTTTGGTTTTTTTTTCCCCCCCCAATTTTAACGGATGCCCCGAAGAACCCTCGTACCTCCTGTTTGTGCTTTTTTTTTTTTCCGTCTTTTTCTCCCCTTAGCATTCTGATACTCCTCCGTTCTGATTTAGGGCAATACTCACACAAGGACAGTCCTCAATGCATCTGACCTGAATTACGTCCTGATCTGTATGTACCTGACGCCAATTACGTCCAAAGCTCAGTAGCGAAGGTCCTAGCGTTAGTATGGTTCAAGGGGTAAGCGTCAGGCAGATGGAGGTGCTACTAACCACCGCCACGTTCTCATGATTTCCGCAAGTGACGGTTTGCTATTGACGACAACTGGAGCAAAAGAAGGAACAAATGACAACCAGAAATTTAATGGGATGCCATCGAAAAAAAAAAAAAAAAGGAAGAAGAGGATACCACCACCGAGGATGCATGCGGCCAATGACGAGCACATCCATTTTCTTTTGAAGGACGACGACGGGCT